CCGGTGGGGCAGGACCAGGCCCTGAAGGAAAGGATTCCCAGTACCACTGGCCTGACCCCACTGTGTCCACAGACCTCTGGGAATACTACCTGCCCTACCTCTACTCCTGCATCTCGCTCTTTGGGGTGCTGCTGCTGTTGTGTGAGTCCTGGGATGTGGTGTGTCCTGCGCTGGGTAGTGGTCCAAGGGTGCCCAGCTGGGTGCAGGGTCCAGCCTTTATCCAGGTTCATTCTGGGGGTGCAGGGAGGGGTAGGATGCTGGGTCCCCCCCACTCAGTCTCTCCTCCCATTGCAGTGTGCACCCCCTTTGGCCTCTCCACCATGTTCACTGTCACGGGGAAGCTGCTGGTGAAACCCCGGGTAAGGTATTTTGTCCCCCGGGGGTGCCTGCTCCCTCATCCCGAGTAGGGGGTGCCCTCACCCCCCTGAACCTGCTGCTTATGGGCTCCTCACCCATCCCCAGCTCCTGGAAGACCTGGACGAGCAGTTGAGCTGCACGAGGCTGGAGGAAGCCGCTGTGTCCCGCAGGATCTCCTCTGGTGGGTGCCCGGCACGGATAGCAGCCTGGAGGGGAGTTCTCGGCGTGGAGGGGTTTTTCTCCTCCCCAGCCCGGGGGGGCCCCCCCCCAGCCCCTCGGCATCTCCTCCCTGGCAGGCAAAGCTTCCTGCTGGCTCAACTTGAATGTGGAGCTGCTGCGGGAGCAGCTCTTCGCCATCCGGAGCAAGAGGCGGAAGCTGGGTGAGGAGCCTGGGGGAGAACAAGCTCCCTCCAGCTTGGCACTGGGAGCACTGCTTCTCTGGGAGGGTGGGGGCTGTAACCTCCTGTCCTGGCACTCCGGGGCCCCCTCCATCTGCTGCCCTCAGGTGGCATTTGTGCTCCTCTCTCACCCCTCTCATGTCCTCCCCCCTAGAGCTGCGGCACCGAGCATCGCCCTGGCAGAGGAACCTGGGCTACCCCTTGGCCATGCTGGGTCTCCTGGCACTGACTGTGAGTGTGTACACTCCCGGGGGAGCTGGATCTCATCCCAGTCCCCTCCCGCCACCCTCATCCCTTCCCTTGCTCCTCCCAGGGCATCTCCGTGCTCATTGTCTGCTTCCATGTCCTGGAGCTGCTGCTGGATGATGCTGCAATGCCACGGGGCATCCAGGTACCCAGGTGAGGGGACAAGACAGTGACGAGTGTGTCCCATGGGATGGGTCCCACAACCTCCTCCTCTCCCAGCAGGATGCATCCCTGGGCCAGGTCTCCTTCTCCATCTTCGGCTCCTTCGGAGCTGCCCTGCAGGTCGTCCTCATCCTGTATCCTTACAGTGGGCACTCGCAGCCCCAGCACTGTCCCCAGGACTCCCCATTCTCCTCCTTAACGCCCCTTGCAGCTACCTGATGGTCTCCTCTGT